AACAATATCATAAGAATAATAATATATAGGAAATAACTTAGTGGATAGAAGCATTTGTTTGTGAATTTAGTGAGATTTGTTAATTGGGAGCTCAAGTGCATTTGAACTCAGTGGCAACGAGGTGAGCAATAACTGAGTAATAAAATAAAACAAGACATGAGTAGTGGAACAGTCTATTCCCATAGATTAAATCAAGGGTTCAGTTTAAAATTCCCTGTATGCTACCCAGATAGCTATATAACTGATGATGGCCAGTGGACAGAATAGCCAAACCTCCAAAATACCAAATAACCTTTTGAATTAATATTTATTTTAAGTTTAATATATATTTATTTACATTATTTACAGTGTCCGGACTGTTGTCCTCATCTTCATTGTGATATTCTTTAAAATTCTTCAGTGATTGGATTTCTTCTTCTGAACCTCCTATTATCTTCTTCCTCCTCTGAGCTGAGGTATTATTATTACTTGTCCTTACTTTCTTCCCTGTCCTCATCTTCATTGTCATATTCACAACGTTTCGGCCATTGTATGCTCTAGCCTTCTTCAGGTGATTGGAATTTCGAACTGAACGCTTTATTATCTGTTTGTATCTCTGAGCTGAGGTATTATGATTACTTGTATTATTTACATTATTTGGACTGTTATCCTCATCTTCATTGTCATATTCACAATGTTTCAGCCATTGTAGATTCCAGCCTTCTTCAGGTGATATATATTGGAATTTTGTACCGAATTTAGTCCACCGGGGTAGAGTGTTCTCATTCCATGTGCCACACTTTTCTGGATATCTCAGTTTCTGTTAATTCCCTCCTAACTCAACTGTTCAGAATTTTTTTTTTTTTTCTTCTTCCTCTGTAGGTCCTCTTCTTCTTCTTCAAGTCAGTTTACTTCAACCAATGCTTTTATTCACTGGGCCATGTGAAGTCAATAAGTTACATGATATAATTTATCTAAAACATTTATATTATTTAGTTGATAAAGAAATTTTAATTATTGCTTTGTTTACATTTATAACAAGTATTTGATACTTTGAGAATGTTTGGGTAATAAGTCTAAAACATGGAAAAAATAACACCAAATTTCTTAAACTGATTTATTTGAACTGCTGTTCTATCTTGCTTATTGTTGACATTATTAGACAATGTCATGGCTAAATTATCCCTGGCTATCTTTAGGTGTTCAATATTGTTTTGATTTTTAAGATTTATTTGAATGCTGTTCTCATCTTGTATTGTTGACAATTAGACAATGTCATTTTAATTATGCCTGGCTATCATTAGATTTTCAATTTGTTTTGATTTTAAGATTTATTTGAACTCATTCTTGCTTTATTGTTGTATTAGACAATGTCATGGCTAATTGGCCCAGCTATCTTTAGGTGTTCAATATTGTTTTTGATTTTTAAGATTTATTTGAACTGCTGTTCTCATCTTGCTTATTGTTGACATTATTAGACAATGTCATGGCTAATTATGCCCTAGCTATTTTAATGTTCAATATTGTTTTGATTTTTTAAGATTTATTTGAACTTTCGCTGTTCTCATCTTGCTTATTGTTGACATTATTAGACAATGTCATCTTGTCGAACTGTTTTATTTTTAAGATTTATTTTAGCTGTTCAATATTGGAATTTGATTCATGGCTAATTTTCCATTATTTGAACTGTTCAATATTCATCTTTTGCTTTTCATTGTTTGACATTCTCATGAATGTAATAATTATGCCTAGCTATCTTTAGGTGTTCAATATTGTTTTGATTTTTAAGATTTATTTAACTGCTGTTCTCATCTTGCATTGTTGACATTATTAGACAATGTCCATTATTATGCCTAATTTTATCTTTAGGTGTTCAATATTGTTTTTGATTTTAAGATTTATTTGAACTGGATGTTTCATCTTGCCTTATTGTTGACATTGATAGACAATGTCATATTGGAGCTATCTTTAGGTTAACCAATATTTTTTATTTTTAAGATTTATTTGAACTGCTGTTCTCATCTGCTTATTGTTGACATTATTATATTCATAAATTATGCCCTATTCTTTAGGTTCAATTATTGTTTTTGATTTTAAGATTTGTTTGTTTGTGTTTCATCTTGCTTATTGTGACATTATTAGACAATGTCATGGCTAATTATGCCCTGGCTATCTTTAGGTGTTCAATATTGTTTTTGTTTTTAAGATTTATTTGAACTGCTGTTCTCATCTTGCCATTGTTGACATTATTAGGACAATGTCATGGCTAATTATGCCCTGGCTATCTTTAGGTGTTCAATATTGTTTTTGATTTTTAAGATTTATTTGAACTATTGTTCTCATCTTTGCTTATTGTTGATTATTAGACAATGTCATGGCTAATTATTAGACAATGTCAATATTGTTTTTATTTTAGCTATTTATACTGCTTGTTCATCTATTGTTTTTTAGACAATGTCATTTAAGATCTTTAAATATTGTTTTTGATTTTTAAGATTTATTTGAACTTAAATTGATTATTGAATTAGAAATGTCATGGCTAATTATGCCCTAGCTATCTTTAGGTGTTCAATATTGTTTTGATTTTTGAGAATTTATTTGAACTGCTGTCATCTCTTTATCAAAATTGTTGACATTATTAGACAATGTCATGGCTAATTATGCCCTGCTATCTTTAGGTGTTCAATATTGTTTTGATTTTAAGATTTATTTGAACTGCTGTTCTCATCTTGCTTATTGTTGACATTATTAGACAATTCATGGCTAATTATGCCTTCTATCTTTAGGTGTTCAATATTGTTTTTGATTTTTAAGATTTATTTGAACTGCTGTTTCTCATCTTGCTTATTGTTGACATTATTATGAATGTCATGGCTCTTATTATTCTTTAGGTGTTCAATATTGTTTTTGATTTTTTAAGATTTATTTGAACTGCTGTTCTCATCTTGCTTATTGTTGACATTATTAGACAATGTCATGGCTAATTATGCCCTGGCTATCTTTTAGGTGTTCAATATTGTTTTTTGATTTTTAAGATTTATTTGAACTGTTGTTCTCATCTTGCTTATTGTTGACATTATTAGACAAATGTCATGGCTAATTATGCCCTGGCTATCTTTAGGTGTTCAATATTGTTTTTTGATTTTTTAAGATTTATTTGAACTGTTGTTCTCATCTTGCTTATTGTTGACATTATTAGACAATGTCATGGCTAATTATTCCCTGGCTATCTTTAGGTGTTCAATATTGTTTTTGATTTTTTAAGATTTATTTGAACTGCTGTTCTCATCTTGCTTATTGTTGACATTATTAGACAATGTCATGGCTAATTATGCCCTGCTATCTTTAGGTGTTCAATATTGTTTTTGATTTTTAAGATTTATTTGAACTGTTGTTCTCATCTTGCTTATTGTTGACATTATTAGACAATGTCATTTGCTCCCTAGCTTCTTTTAGGTGTTCAATATTGTTTTTGATTTTAAGATTTTATTTGAACTGTTGTTCTCATCTTGCTTATTGTTGACATTATTAGACAATGTCATGGCTTTATGCCCTAGCTATCTTTAGGTGTTCAATATTGTTTTGATTTTTAAGATTTATTTGAACTGCTGTTCTCATCTTGCTTATTGTTGACATTATTAGACAATGTCATGGCTAATTATGCCCTAGCTATCTTTAGGTGTTCAATATTGTTTTGATTTTTAAGATTTATTTGAACTGCTGTTCTCATCTTGCTTATTGTTGACATTATAGACAATGTCATAATTATGAGCAATGTTCAATATTGGATTTTTAATTTATTTGAACCTGTTCTCATCTTGCTTATTGTTGACATTATTAGACAATGTCATGGCTAATTATGCCCTAGCTATCAAATATTGTTTTGATTTTTAAGATTTATTTGAACTGCTGTTCTCATCTTGCTTATTGTTGACATTATTAGACAATGTCATGGCTAATTATGCCCCTAGCTATCTTTTAGGTGTTCAATATTGTTTTGATTTTTAAGATTTATTTGAACTGCTGTTCTCATCTTGCTTATTGTTGACATTATTAGACAATGTCATGGCTAATTATGCCCTGGCTATCTTTAGGTGTTCAATATTGTTTTGATTTTTAAGATTTATTTGAACTGCTGTTCTCATCTTGTTTATTGTTGACATTATTAGACAATGTCATTTAATTATGCCTTATATCTTTAGGTGTTCAATATTGTTTTTGATTTTTAAGATTTATTTGAACTGCTGTTCTCATCTTGCTTATTGTTGACATTATTAGACAATGTCATGGCTAATTATGCCCTAGCTATCTTTAGGTGTTCAATATTGTTTTTGATTTTTAAGATTTATTTGAACTGCTGTTCTCATCTTTGCTTATTGTTGACATTATTAGACAATGTCATGGCTAATTATGCCCTGGCTATCTTTAGGTGTTCAATATTGTTTTGATTTTTAAGATTTATTTGAACTGCTGTTCTCATCTTGCTTATTGTTGACATTATTAGACAATGTCATGGCTAATTATGCCCTGGCTATCTTTAGGTGTTCAATATTGTTTTTGATTTTTTAAGATTTATTTGAACTATTGTTCTCATCTTTGGCTGTTATCTTGCTTCAATATTGTTGACATTTTATTATTTGAACAATGTCATGGCTAATTATGCCCTAATTATGCTATCTTTTAGGTGTTCAATATTGTTTTTGATTTTTTAAGATTTATTTGAACTGCTGTTCTCATCTTGCTTATTGTTGACATTATTAGACAATGTCATGGCTAATTATGCCCTAGCTATCTTTAGGTGTTCAATATTGTTTTTTGATTTTTAAGATTTATTTGAACTGTTGTTCTCATCTTGCTTATTGTTGACATTATTAGACAATGTCATGGCTAATTATGCCCTGGCTATCTTTAGGTGTTCAGTATTGTTTTTGATTTTTAAGATTTATTTGAACTGCTGTTCTCATCTTTATTTATTAGACAATGTCATGGCTAATTATGCCCTGGCTCTTTAGGTGTTCATA